TCCTTTCACCTGTCCCTCTCCAAACCCCTAGGCAGGATCAAATCCTGGCCCATATTGAAATATCCTCTTTTAGTCACAGGGTCTTCAAAGAAAATAAAGGACCAAACAAAGTATCTAAAGCTACGCTGGACTCCTCCCGCTGCATTCCAGTTCTCATCCACAGTCGCTCTCTGACATCATGCAACCATATTTATATTGTATTGTATAACATCTAGACGACACAGACGATTAATAAGACACAGAAGAAAAGGAACTTGGGGAAACAAAGAACTTATTCTCAGCTCCTACTAAGATTGAAGCTTCTGTTTCTATATTCTCAATGGTGGAGAAATGAACTTATCTACACAATATTTGGAAATATGACCCATCACACTTGAAAGCAGTTGCTAATACCTAAATCATTTAGACTGTCAAATGACGTAATTCCCACATGCCATCTTTAGAGCAGGGAGTTTTATTTTTCTGTGATGAAATGATATAATATTCAATTTTGACAAGTGTTTAATAGCTGCATTCACTACAGTATTCTCAATACATAGCATTAAAATTACAGGCGAATTTTATGAGGCTCTATGATCTAAAATGTTATCCTTTATGTTTTATATTGTTTTAGAGAAAAAGATAACTCTGTTTTTTAGTACTCTAGCAGATTCAAAAATTGATTTTCTTATAGTGCAGGGGGTCATGTTTACATGACATTTTTGATAAAATTAGATTTCATAGCTCTTTTGGCTTTTTTTCTGTCCCCAAGTAAAATTAGATTTCCTTATATGTAGAAAGAAAAAATTTGGGAGAAGAAATACTTCAAAACATTAGCAAAATTAAATAATTGTACTCAACTTTTCTTCAAGGAGTATACACTATTTAGGTAATTATAATACAATATGTCTTTTAAAAAATCAAGGTGGGGGAGAAGAGAAAGATTATGATTTTAAAAGCCATGATATGAGGGAAATCTAATTTGAACCAACAAATCCAGGAGCCAGAAATATCTCACCAATAATCTCTCACAGATGACTGCCAAATACGCTTTCCCATCATGGAATAATTCCTAGCCAGTGCTGGGACACAAGAGGGCACTGGCTCCCTGGGGACTGCCGCAGCTCCTGCTTCTCAGCCATCAGCTATGTGACGCATCTCTAATTTATGCCACTAACGTTTGAGAAGCATAGTTCACTTGTAAACTGCTTCTGCATGCTCTTATGCTTTGATTTCTTGAAGACACCATTTCTGTGAATAAAATTAAACAATGGTCCAGCTGGGGTTTGTGTGGGGTGAAGGATCTGCTGAAAAGATGGGAAATAAGGACAAATAAAAACCATTTTGCCTTCTGGAGTGGGGGTTAGGGAAAGGCTCTCAGGCTATGTACAGAAGAGCTGGGATTTGAAAAGCTGCCAGTGAAGGGTTCAAACTTAGCTGCCAGAGCTGATACAGTGATCTGTACAGTTCTCTGTGGGGACAAGTATATGAGGAAGCTTCTGACCCTTCTTCTCTAGCTTTTCTGCCTCGCAACCCCCCTCTGGTTCATGGTCTTTCATCCTGACTAAAACTGCCCTGTGCATTACTTCGGATAATGCATAATAACATTCAGTATTTGCTTGGGCTACAGTTTACAAAGTCTTTTATACTTTATAAAGAACTTCATGTATGTTTTTCGAAAGCCCATGATTTGAAATGATTTCACTTTTGACTTCTATTTTAATGACCTTCATTATCGGAAAAAAGAACGCTACTGTAGTGACTAGAGCTAATATGGTCATGCACCACATAATGACGTTTCAGTCAATGACGGACTGTATCTATACCTTGGTGGTCCCATGAGATTACAGAGGAGGGCTGGCCGGTTAGCTCAGTTGGTTAGAGCATGGCCTGATAACATCAAGGTCAAGTGTTTGGTTCCCTGCACTAGCCAACCATCCAAAAAAACCCACAAAAAACAAAGAAAAGGTTGCAATGGAGCTGAAAAATTCCTGTCGCCTAATGACATAGTGTAGCTGTGGTAACAGAGTAGCAACACACAAAACTCAGGTGTTCATAGTGATGTTGGTATAAACAAACCTAACGCAAGATATTTTGAGGAGAAGTGCCTAGCTTACCCACGGGGTGACCCTCGCAAAGGTAGCTCAGACCTTAAGATAGAAACAAGCATTTGACACATTAGGTCTGACCCCACGTGAAAGGGTTGTTGTCTACTTTAGAATTCTTCCATTTTTGACCCTCGCAAAGGTAGCTCAGACCTTAAGATAGAAACAAGCATTTGACACATTAGGTCTGGCCCCATGTGAAAGGGTTGTTGTCTACTTTAGAATTCTTCCATTTTAAAATGATTCCCACCCACCGCCATAGCAAAATCACAATTAATAAGAGTTAGCTAACACTCAGCGAGTGCTTGCTAAGTGCCAGGCAAAATCCCTACCTGTCATTTAATTTTCATAACCTTGTGGGAGTGGTATTATTCTAATCTCCATTTAACAGATGAGTAAAGTGAGGGACAGAGAGACTTAGTAACATAATGAGAGGGTCCATGCTCATATGACCAGCGGCCGGTTAGATAATAGGGAAATTCATTGCTGTTCCCTTTCATAATACACTCTTGCCCAGTGACGAAATCACCTAACACATTTCTCAGAACCTATCCCAGTCATTAAGCGAGGCATGACTGTATTAAAAACCACTGAATGACTGGGACCAAGTCATCGCGTTGGCCTGGCAACACAGACCAGGCTGCTGGTTAAAGGTCCTGATGTGGGCAGAGAGGAAGGATTAGAATCTCGGTTACGGAGCTCAGCAACAAATTCCTTTCTGGAAAAGAAGAGCACAGTGGCACTGTGGAAGAATTTACCATTCGAAGATGTTTAGAGGCATCCATGCTCATCAAATGGACAATAAATATTTGTGAGACAGATGATCCTAATTTTCGATGTGGTTTGGAGGTCTTTGGAGGAGTAAAGAATTCTTTTGTTTGCCATAGGGTGATTTATTATGAAAAGTTGTCTTCATAAACCATATATTTTCATAAGCTGCAACAAGTCTAGGCCATTAGAAAAATATTTCAAAAAGAGTATTTGCTATTATTGGTTTTAGGATTGTGTGGTTTTACTATTTAATAAATGCTTGTAAATATATTTGGGATTTATTGTGATCAACACCACATTTGCTTCATCTCTTCGTAGTGGATTTGGTGGCTACCATTTTCCATTTCGAAGATTAAAAAACTAAGGCACTGAAAGCATTTGGTGTTCTCTTGCTGAGTGAGCAGTTTCTCGTTTAGACCCTGTTGGGAAAAAGCTGGTCTCTAAGGAGGTGGCAGGACTTGGGTGGTTTATTATTAGTTGAGCACCAAAGATGTGCTTGGTCCAGGAGGAAAACAGCACATGGTACGTTCTGTGCCTTCTGTGAGCCTGCCCTCTTAGCCTTCTTGACTCATACCATAGACAAGAGAGAATAAATAAGCAAATGACTAAGGGGTGTAGTGTGAAGCGTGGGAAGTTGCTGTCAAATAGAAACCATATATTGGCAGAATAAATCACAGCACCTGTATATTTAACCAAAACTTTGAGTCAATATTAGGTCCGTAAAATGGTGGTCACTAAGGCTAGGATTAGCAATTTCTCTGCACCCTTTTTGATTCTTTCCTTTGGAACAGATGTTCCTTCTACCTTCTTCAGTTTTCTCTCTACGGCTTCCCCAACATTTGTAACCCCCTGATCTTCTACAAATATCTGAACCTCCATTTATCATTGCTCTTTTAATAAACTCTTGTATCTTTCATATACTTCTGTTAAAATGAAAATATCTTGTAGAAAAGTAATTTACTAAGTTCTTAACACAGGGATGGCAAATTCTAGGCAAGTTCCCAGGCAGGCTCCCAAACTATGGCACACTTACTCATGGAGTCTGGAGTTAGCCTTACAATTATCAAAACAGTGCTGCTGGCATCTGCACAGGGTAATCAACACTGGCAGGTGAGCTGAGGCCTAGCTGGTGTCCCTATCTTAGCAACATAATCTGAACAAGTTGATCAATAATATTTCCTTAGTCAGGGTTCCAGAAACCAGGAAACTGAAAGATAAGGGCATAAGGAAAGGAACTATTGAGAACAAGCTTCTTTCATCACAATTTTACCTAGGCTCTTTGCTTAACTCTATTTTAATGGCAGAAAGGAGAAGTCAAAGTGGATGACCTACAAAATAATACTTTAAGAAACACTTAGTTTAAAATAGTGAAATACTTTGAGGCTTTACTAAATGGGTAACTGTCTGTCTCCAAAAAACTCATTCATCCCATCAAGCCTTGCACACAGATATTCTTCTATCCCTAGGCCAAGTGAAGTCTACACATAGTGGACATGAAATTATTAAATGGAAAAATGTTGAGAAGCTATTGCCAAGAGGAATTTGATAGGATCACCCAGAAAATAACAATGAAGTCAATGTCTCCTAAGCCACTGTGGGAGACTTTCCAGGTACTTTGGTGTTGCTTCAAGAATTATCTGGAATTTGTTCTCTTCCTACCTAAAAGTCGGTTTACATGACTGCCCTCATATAAAAGCAGAGCAAAAATCATACAGACAGAAAGAAGTCTTTTTTAAGAGAGTGGCAGCTACAGCTGGCACTTTATAGAAAGCACCCTGAAAGTGACAAAACCCTAATAGGTAACAGGCAGTAGTTACAGCTGTGGAGATATGATTAATTCTTTTTACCCCTCCCACCACTGAAGACAGGAGGTTTTATTGATGCTGATGGGGGGTGGGCAGGAAGGGTCCCCAGCAGCAGGGGGACTAAGTCAATCAGTGGATGCACAAGGCCTGGGCACACAGGGGCAGGTTAGGGCACACTCATCTCCTCAGGATTCTGTGGTTCCTTCCTTGGGGAAGGGAGTGATTGTCTTTAGGGGGAGGGAGGAAATTCCAAGAATAGGGAGGGCAGAGGTTAGGGACAGTGGGAAGCCCTTAACCTGAGAGGAGGCACCACAATAGGCAGCAACATCTATGCGAATGATCAGTAGGGAAATGCGAAGAGGCCCTGGGACGGCCTCTTGGAGAGGGGTCCAACCTTGGCCTGAGTGAGCTCGTGAAAATATCTGGTGCTTCCAAGCAGAGCGGTGCAGGACACAAAGCCCCTCTCCCTACAGGTCTTCTTAAAGGGAAAAAGGCATTCCCTTTAAGAAGGGAATTAGTGCCAGAATTAATTTTTAAGGCACAGCTGGGTGAAGACAAGGTGCTGAGACACAACTGGTGGGGGGCAGGGACAGCCTCCAAGCTGTCCTCCTTGGTGCCCACCAGGAGGATGTGTGCATCAGGGCAGTGGCGGCACACCTCTGGATGCCACTTGTGCTGCACGTTCTCGTAGGAGGGTGGGTTGGCACTGGAGAAGCAGATGACAAAGACGTCGGTTTGGGGGTTGGAGAGTGTGGGGAGGCGGTTGTACCCTCCTGGCCCGCGGTGTCCCACAGGTTCAGATGCACTGCGTGCCCATCAGCTGCGCTCTGAGCGCTGTGATTGTGGAACACTGTGAGGATGCACTCCTCAGGGAAGGCGTTGCTTGTGTAGCAGAAGAGCAGGTACATCGGGCCCACAGCCCCATCGCCCACCACCACCAACCTGATGCTCCCTCTGCACGGTGGGTGCGGCTGCTGCGGTGGAGGCGACGCCTGCTCCCTCTTCTGAGCCCCTCTGGATGTGGTGACCTGGTGCTCTCCCCGTGGTGGCAGCTCCAGGCTCAAGAGGTAGTCATTTCTATTCTTGGTCTGATATTTGACCTACTGCGGAGAGACAAAATTTTCAGTGCTGAGCATAAGTCTTGAACTGCTCCTTCCAAAGAAGACTGATGTAGACACTGAAGAATACTAGCAAAAAATGCACGCTGAGTTGACATAAAAGGGGTGGGTTCATATTGGACCAATGCAGAAATGTTTACATTAGCTTCACCTAACTAAGGTTTCACCTATTTCTTGGTGGGGACAGATTGGGTGCTGGAGTCATATTTTATAGTCTTTGTGTTTTTTAATACTCAGACACATTTATAAATTTTTATTTAAAAAAGTTATTCTCCCTTATTCCAGGAAAGTTGTAAATCACCAGGATACACATGTATCCCGTGTTTTGGGATGGATGCATAGATGGATGAATGGATGGATATGTCTGATAGATCATTTAGGTCAGGTCAGTTGAGGCTGGCATGTGAGGTTAGGCAACACCAGTCTCTAAAACACCTCTATGAAGTCTGAGCAGATCAGCTTCCCAACGGTTAGAGAATATTCTGAGAACTTTTAAATGGTTTTGCCATGTTCAGGGATACTAAGTAACAAAGATGTTCAAATATTTCCCTTGCTTCACATGGGGTCCAGAAACCCTGTGGGAAAGAAGTGGAACCAGTCCAGAGTTGCAGTTCCAACGTGTAGAAGCTGGCCTACGGACGGTGGCCCTTAAAGACAGCTGCACTGGAAGGAGAGACAGTAGGACCTTCTAGTAGAGCCAGCTGGCCTGAGCAGTGGGAAATGAGACTGGAGTTTTTTAGGTGTGGCTGGTCTTGGCCACTCTGGCTTGGAGGAGGAAGGCCATGGTGTACAGGAAAGTAAGAATGGTGTTACTAGGAGCCACCAGCTCTGTCTTGGGACCTCCTTGCCCCTTAGTTGGTGGCATGAAGTAACAGGGCTCAGTGGAACAGATGGTCAACTATGCTGTAGCCTCTGATTATATGCGAGACTCTTGGAACTTGGGGTACACCTGTCATATATGGGTGGTATATGTTTGTTTAAGTTACTCATTTAACAATCTTGTATTTGGTTCATTTCACAATATCAGTTCACCTCTTCTCATATCGTCTCTCTCTCTTTTAATAAAGTCGAGTTGAAAAACGAACCAAATTTAGCTATTGTTGTAAATCAGTTGTTCTTAAATTCTAGCCAGCAGCAGAATCATCTGGAGGGCTTGGGGTTTTTTTGTTGTTGTTTTTGTTTGTTTGTTTGGAGGGCTTGTTAAAACACAGATTTCTGAGCCCTACCTTCAGAGTTTCTGATTCAGTATGTATAGGGTGGGCTCAATAATTTGTATTTTTAATAAGTTCCTTGGAGATGCTGGTCAGGGAACACACTTTGAGAACTGCTGTGGTAGAAAGTTTTCTGGACTAGGGAGTCCTTAGCTGAAAAGATTCTGGAGACGAGATTATAACACATGATAAGCAGCCCCTTTCATAAGATAGTATCCTAATGAGGTACATTCCTGGCTAGGGCCCTGTATTAGTTTGCTAGGGCTGCCATAACAAAATACCACAGACTGGATGGGTTAAACAACAGAAATTTATTTTCTCACAGTTCTGGAGTCTGGACATTCAAAATCAAGGTGTCTACAGGGTTGGTTTCTTCTTAGGTCTCTCCTGGCTTATAGTGGACTGTCTCCTCTCTGTGTCTTCATATGGTCTTCCCTCTGCACCTCTCTGTATCCAAATTTCCTCTTCTCATAAGGACACCAGTCATACTGTATTAGAGAACACCTTAATGACCTCATTCTAACTTAATTAAAAGCTCTTTAAAGACCCTACCTCCAAATACAGTCACATTCCAAGGTACTGGGGCTTACAAATTCAAAGTATGAATTTTTGGGGGATACAAGTCAGCTCATAACAGGTCTCTATATACAACTCTTCTAAGATTTTCAAGGGTTTTTACATCTAATAAAAACAGATCTAAAAAGAATTTTTCTTCTGCCTTCCCTCGAATCTTTTGTTTGACTCAAACCCTCACAAAACCACATATAATGGGTATTTTTCAGACTTTTCTAACTTCAAACTTGATCATATTATACATAAGATCTAAGAACACCTGACATTTTTCCAATGTCTGGTATTTGACAGCTATTATCCAGGGTACCCCATTTAAGGTTATTGGACTGAGAACTATTTGAAGGGTGCTTGTTCAACACAGAGTCAGTGTATATGGAATTGATAATCTGATGGGAACAGTGCCACAGTTTCTGACCCCAAAATCTAGATGCATCATCTCATGCATGGTTAATGAATGTTTTGAAAACATGACAGAGTGTTTTTAATTAGAACTCCCCAAGAATACCCTGGCATATAATTGTTGTGCAAATGGGAATCATTCACTTATTTCTTCTTTAATAAATATTTATTGAGCACCTACCTCATGCCAAGGATGGTGCTAGGCACTGTGTATATAATACGTAAGGACTAGGCAGGATTATGTAGTAATTAAAACACATTCTGGAACCAAATTATCTGGATTCAAATTCCAACTCTGCCACATTCTAGCTTAGCAAATTGCTTATCTATTTTTATTTATTTATTTATTATTTTTAAATTTTTATTGAATCAAAATTGATTATACATATTTTTGAGGTTCAACATTGAGATATGTTGATCAAATCAATATTACTAGCACATATATTGTTACAAATCATACTTATTCTTTATGCCCCTTGTCCAATCTCTGCTTACCTATTTTGTGCCTCAGTTTTCTCATCTATAAAATGGGAATAATTGCACGTCTCTAATAAAGGTTATATGAGAATTAAATGAGTTAACATTTGTAAAAAGCAGAGAACACTATTTGGCACATCGTATGTGTTTTATGAATTTTGTCATATGAATACAGCAGTCCTTGTCTGAGACACTCAGTCCTGGGAGGTAAAGAGTGACACTTGAAGAAGTAAATTTCAATATGATGTAATAAATGCTCTACAGGAGATAGGGACGAGGGGAGTGCTGGACTTTCTCTGCTGCAGGATGGAACTCAGTAGACTCCTGGGGCTGGACAGCATGTGGTCACCACCTCCAGCTTCCCTCCGCAGACCCACGCTGGAGAGAATCCAGCGAGTGTTTATCCTTCCTCTTTGTGGCTGCTGCTATGAAAACAACCTCCATGATGGTAACGTATAATTACCATAAATGGTTTTCAAAAACTTTTCTATCATGTTTAAATGATAGTGAAACTTGTTTAGGAGACCACCTATTTGAACTTTATAGGGTGCAGGAGCAATTTATGTGAAAATAGAATTGAGCAATTATTCTGCTGTTTGAAACTCTGGGTGGGGCACCATGAGAATCAGATGTGGCAATAACCTTATAGTAGGGCCGTCGACTTATCCCAGTTTGTGTGAGACCTTCCCAGTTTTAAAAGTGAAACTCCTGCTTCCCAGGAACCCGTCAGTCTCAGGCAAAAGTTGAAAGTCCTTACAACCATTTTGACAGGAAATGGAGTCTTTTTCAAGCAAATCTATTTGGCCACTTGGTTTGAAGAGAACTGGTAACTATAGCTGAAATCCATAGATATTTACTGACTTTCTGTTGAGTGGATGACACACACATGTTCCTGACCTTGATAAGCCACAATCTGATTCAGGGAACAAGAAACAAACCAGTATAAAGTTGAATTAGTTTGAGACAATAAGAGGAATGATGTTACAAAATGGCTATTGGCCAAATCAGTTGTCCACGCTAGCGCTGCTGTGGGGATGGAGTTCAGAGAAGAGGGCTGGGGTGTTCATGGATGGTGGTTCAGAAAAACTGGAGGTCTTTCAATACACACAGATGAAGGGAAGAGCATTGCAGGTGGATGGCACAGCCCAGGCAAACCACAGGGGCGGGAAGAAGCAGATGGCAAGTCCAGGGGACAAGGACTGGCACATGAAAAGGAGGAGGAAGTGAGCGAGAGAAGGGGGCAGAGGAAGAGAAGTGTGGGGAGATGAGGTTGGGATCAAACCATGTTCTGCAGTGTTACGCATTCTCTTACGCAGGGGTTGGAAGACGTCTGTTGAACAACGGCTTTCCTTCCCTGTGTGAAGAAACACTGCCTTTTGCCCTAGATTTTTCTATTTCTTTTTTTTCCTGGCAGCTGGCTGATATAGGGATCTGATCCCTGAGCCTTGGTGTTATCAGCAACACACTCTAACCAAGTGAGCTAACTGGCTGGTCCTAAATTTTCCTCTTTCCAAACTCTAAATACAATGCAGTATAGTAGCTCTTTGGTCTGGTTATCTAGCACCGTATACTAAATCTAGTGTGGGCTTCCTCACAGCCCGGGGACTCAGGGTAGTCACCTTCCTGCAAGTCTCTAGTGGCCAAAGCAGCAGCTTCAGACCTTCCTAGTCCTCGGCCCCAAGCTGGCACTGCATCACCTCTGTCTCCTTCTACTGATTAGAGCAGGTCATAGGTCCTTCAAAATTCCAGGGGAGGGTCTACACAAGGGGACATGGCTCATCGGGGATCATCAATGTCACAGCTGACCACACTCCTCCTTTAGGGTTCTATCATGACACTCTTCAGTGAAAAACCTCTTTCACATCACAGAGATTTTGTGTAACATTTAATTTTATGCACCTCTGCTTAGAGGAAGAAGGCAGCCGGCAATCTCTCCCCATGGAAAACAGAACCTAAACAGGAAACTAAAAGGGACAGCTGTGTAAAGACAGATCAAGACTCTGGAGCTGGGTGGGGCCCGAGGCTAGGACAGAGTATCAGGGAAGGGAGTGCAGTGTTTGGATTTGAGACCTGAGGGCTGGTCACCCTCAGGAACCCTTCCTGCAGGACAGCTCAGGGTTCTCATTCATGTCTTCAGGGAATAGCGCTGGAAGCAGAGAATTCGCCTCCTGGTCATACACAGAGCAGTGGCTGCCACTCCACCGCACGCTTGAGAGCTCTCGGGAGAGAAGTCAGACCCCGAAAGACTGGGAAGATTTGAAGTTAGGACAGTCGTGATGGTTTCGTGAGTCAGTTGATGCCAGATGAATGTTTCCCATGTGTCACACTGCAGAATTTCATACGATTATCGACAGTAATTTTGTGCTGGCTCTTCTCTGTCTCTCCCCACCCCCACCCAACCCCCTCTCCTTTTTCTCTAGGACATAAGGTACAGAGACTTGAGTTAGTCAAAACACCTCCTTCAGAACACATTCTCATCAACAGTCTGTGCAGGGCCCTTCTCTTTTTTTAAATTTGCATTTCCTCATCCACACCAGCCACCCATTCCCATGCCTGCCCCATGCAGGCACCCCACTCTGACATGCTTGAGGTGTACTCTTGGATATATATATATATATATGTTCTTGTGATATACACAGTGGTGTTTCCCCATATGTAAGCATGTTTGTGCTCAGTGTACATAGGTAGGGGCCTGCCAGGTGAGCCATTCCCCGCTTTAAGGAGCTTTAGAGATGTCCCACTCAACAACTCCCACTTCCAACTTATCAGCCAAAATTTTGCTGCTTGCCCACTCCTTTCCACCCAGGAGGCTGGGAAAAGTAGTTTTATAACTGAACATATTAACATCTGCAATAAAATAGAGGTTTTATTGTAAGGAAAAAGGAGCAAGTCTTAGTTTGGGCTGCTATAACTAATTACCATAGACTGGGTGGCTTAAACAGAAATTTATTTCTCACGTTTATGGAGGCTGGGAAGTCCAAGATCAAGGAGCTGGCAGATCCGGTGTCTAGTGAGCATCCCCATTCTGGTTTGTGGATGGCCATCTTCTTGCTGAGTCCTCATGTGGTGGAGAGCAGAGAGAGTAAGCCCCTATCTCCTCCTCTTTTTGTAAGAACATTAATCCCATCATGACCTCATCTAACCCTGATCACCTCCCAGAGGCCCCACCTCCAAATACCATCACATTAGGGGTTAGGATTTCAATATATAGATTTGAGGAGGACAAACATTCTGTCTGTAACAGGGAAAATGGCTGTAGGTAGACATTTACCTCTCTCTGTTACCTGTAGGAATGAGGAAGGGATAGCAGAGATTCCCTGGTCTCTGGGTGTCCCCAGGCAGGGACAGAGGCAGTAAAACAGGAAGGCTGGAGAAAGGAAGCTAGCTCAGTGGCATCCCACCTGCATCCATTTCCTGAGGAGCAGAGACCATAAGGAGTGACCGCTGGGGACATTCCTTCACTGCAAATGTGCTTTCACCCTAAAGGGAACTTGACCAGATGATCTCAGGATAATTTTAGAAGATCCATTTCCTGAGGAGCAGAGACCATAAGGAGTGACCGCTGGGGACATTCCTTCACTGCAAAAGTGCTTTCACCCTAAAGGGAACTTGACCAGATGATCTCAGGATAATTTTAGAAGAAAGAGAGGAGCAGAGAAGGGAGAGGGATAGGGGTGGATGGACAACTTGTAAACAAGGACTACGAGTGAGGGGGAGGAGGGGAGGCTTACTTCTCACACTTCATTTCCTTCCTACCTTCCTTATAAGGACAATTTGCATTCCCTCACTTGGAAAATATCCCCAGTGTGTTGCTTAAATGAAAATGTTTATAAATCAAATCCCAGTTTAAAGATAATAAAGAAATTTTTGGTGACTACTTTGTAAGAGTTACCACTTAAACTCAAGCAAAGGAGGAAACAGCTAAACATTTCAAGGTACCAGGGGGAAAAAAAAAAAGGAAAAACTCTCACTTATTAAACATGCACATGACACATTTAAAGATTGCAATTCTTGGTGTATTATTGATATTTTTCTTTATCTTGATTCTAAGATGCAATCCCAGCACTGCAAAGGACTCTTGATTTCTTTTCAATTTTTTTTTTTTTTTTGGTCTAGATGTTAGTGTGGATTCACTCTTGCACGCCTATTTATTCTTGTAATTGCAGTTGTCTCAAGGGCAGTGAAGAGACATTTCACACTGTCCAGCTTCTTTCCCTGTGAAAGCTATAAGGAGACTCCCTGGAGACATATTTACCCACTGATTTTCAAGCTCTAGCACTGAGGTCCTGCTAACCTTATATTGAGATGAACTAGTGATTGAGTTTTTTCCTTGATGTAGAATCAACAAGCATTTCCTTGGCTTTTGGTACACAGCTGCCTTCTTGATGCCAACCGAGAGGCTGAGAAGCTGGCACAGCCATTTGGCAGAAAGGATGAAGATCAAAGAGGAAGCAGAAGTAGAAAGCTACATCACTTAAATCTTCTTCCTGACTCCATTCCATTTTGGGGTGCTAAGTTTACAAATATACCTAAGTTACAATGAATGACTGCTATGGTCTGAATATTTTTGCCCCGTGCCCTGCCCCCCACCCCATTCATATGTTGAAATCCTAACCCTCAAGGTGATGATATTAGGAGGTGGGGCCTTTAGGTCATGAGGGTGGAGCTCTTATAAATAGAGTCGGTCCTCTTATAAAAGAGACCCCAGAGAGCTTAATAACCCCTTCTGCCACGTAAGGACACAGACAGAAGGAAGCCAGTTACTGCCATCTACGAACCAGAGTGGGCTCTCAGCACACATGGAAGCTGCTGGGCCTTGGTTTAGGACTTCCCAGACTCCAGAACTGTGAGAAATACATTTCTGTTGTTTATAAGCTACTCAATTTATGGTATTTTGTTATACTATATAAATATATATGCACATATATCTCAGCCTGAATGGACTAAGACAATGACTACATAATAGTTTCTAAGCTACACGGTGTGCCCATAACTTGATCAATAACTTGGGCAGAAACACAGCTGAGATGAACTTAGGAACAGATCCTCTTCACCCTGCTTAAGAAGATCCAATTAAATAAGAAAAGACTGCTTGGCAGTCAATCTTTTCAGAAAACTCTTGGACACACCTTCAGATCCTGCCCGCCACAGCTTTGCCAGAGCCATCAAGCGTCCAAGATACTAGCCTCCATGTAATCCATTTGGCTCCAAAAAGTGTATCTTATCTCATTGCTCCTGGCAGTTAGGCTTATGTGTCTAATTTTTTCAAGACAACTTATATGCATTATGGTCTCATAATTACATAGTTCTCTGCATCACAAGCCCAGAATCAATTTGGTGAGTTGGTGCATGCCCCAGGGTTTATTTCTGCTGTAGTCCATCTCAGCTCTCTTCTTTCTTAGAAAAGCACCAATTCTTTCTTCAGACAGAAAACTGCTGCCAAGCAGGCCAGGACAATTTCCATAGCACAAATGACTAATGCAAGGTAGGGGAGAGGGAGTGGAAGCAGCTCTGTTCTCTTTCTTGAATTCCTCCCAGATCCCAATCCATGTGCTGTACTTGCACAGATTCAGTAGGCACTAGACAGAACTGAGAAGTCCATAAAGAATCTGCACCACAGGCTTTTCTATTCTGTTTCTTTTCTCTACTCAGGAAGGCCCTTTCCCAACCTCCAGGTACCTGATACTCTCTACTTCTCCATCCAACTAACTCTTATTTTTAAAAACAGCTTTTTTGGTCACTACAAGGGATAAAAGGTTGATAGCAATTCAAAGTATTTCTTTTTCCCAAAGTGCTTCCATTTTAGCGAAGAATGAAACCTCAGGTTGAAGGAAAGGAGGGAGTATTGACAGTGGAATACCAGGCGTCACCCAGCAGCAGCAGAAGAGGAGGATTTGCAGGGAGCTGCTTGGGTCTCTAAGATCACACCATGGAGACAAAGGTAGAATCCACCTACACTAAACCATCTCTGTAGGTTTGGGAGCAAAAATGACTACTTGTTTTGGGTTACAGCCTGCACTGATTCCTCAGCCTCCAAAGGAGTTCTCTGTAATCTAATAACCTTATAATTTCCAGGGGTGACTAAACAAAGATGTCTACTGGGATTTCCCACAGGCTGCCTCTCCACTGCCCCCACTATCTCCTCTTCTGTGCCTCAAACACACAAAAGCCCTGGCTAAATGGACTGTGCACATGGAGTAGTTTACCCCACCCAGGTTGTTTGTTGCATTGGACATGTCATGCTTGGATGGACATTAGATGGATGAATCCACTGAACATATATTGTGACTCTGCATTTAGGCCCTAGGATAGGTGATGGGGAGTCAGAGATGAAAGGACACGGTCCCTACCACAAGGAGTTTGTAGTCTAGTGGGTAGAAAGTCATGTGAACAGGTAAAAACTTTTGTAGCCTGAACAAATTTTAATATACTTACTTGCATATGCAAGAAACAAAGCTTTTCTAATTTTTGCTGTCAGTAAACTTGATTTTTAACTTAAGCTCCCATTCTGCATAGTGGCAGAAATGTAATTTTAGCCGATAGGGCTTTCCCTGCCAACCAAACTCTTGTCTCTCTCCTCTCCACCTGGGGTTGCATCTCAGTTCTGAGGGCTCCATCAACGAATTCTGAGGAGGAGTGGGGAGACTGGTTGGTGTCTAGGGCTCTGGGCCCATTCTGTTTGGTCCTTGTTTGTTTTTCATCTTTCCCACTGGAATCTTCTGACGTGTTTATTTTCTCAACAGATCGCTGGTCAGAAGGTCCAGGTGATTCTCTGCTGCTATGCTCCTTCCTCCTAGTCATGTCTTTCTTGAGCTCATCTGCTCCTGAAGTTACCTTCACATCCCTCCCAGGGAATGGCATGTATTTGGCTGCTTGGTCAGCTGACTCTAAGGCCATAGGTAAGGAGGTGGCCATCTCGGGTGCTCTTGGCTTCAACACATCTTCCACTATTTATACCCTATGATCATTCCGTGCTGGAGGCAGTAAGACTCTATGTAACTGATGTTTAGAAACAGATTCCCCCAACCCTGGGAGCCCCCAGCTAACCTGGAGTTTCTGTCGTTTGCCCTCACTCCACCTCCAGGCTTGGTGTGGAGCAGGGCACTCGTCGGAATCGAATTGCTCTTCTCCTCACCCCGTCTGGAGGATCTTGACCTCCTCTAGAGTAGGAAAAAGTCACTCTCACATGTGCACATAGTCCTCCAAATTTATTGATGATAGAAATGCCTTACTGTCCTGAATTCATTGGGATTTCAGTTTCTGATCCTAAAAGCCAGATTCTGATGTTCAAGAGAAAGAATTTTGAGACTAAAAGTACTTTCTTCCAAGGTGCAATGGGTACGGAGAAGGAAGGACAAAGCCTGTCTTGGGGAGTCAGGGAAGACTTCCACAGAGGAGGGAGTTCTTGAACCAGGATTTGAACTAGGACTAGGCTTGTAGGCATTGCCAGGTAGGCATCAGGGTAGGGCAGAGAGAATAGAACATGCAAAGGCAGGGAGACCTGGCATATTTGGGAAAGTTACAAAGAGTTTGGTATTTTTGGAGCATAAGATGCAGCGAGGAAGGATTATAGATGTGTGAGATTGGTATAGAATAAAGAAGTTTAGGTAGAAAGGGACTATAGTCTGGATAGGAAACCACTGAAGTTTAACAGAGAATTGACATAGAGAGCTGCTTTGGGTGAATTGTGGTGAATGGATGGCCAAGGCCTGTGTCTGGAAGTCAGGGAGACCTGGAGAGAAGGCTGGTGTCTGTCCATAAAAGAAGTGATTATAACTTGAAAAAGGGCCAAGCCCGTGGCGCACTCGGGAGGGTGCGGGGCTGGGAGCGCAGTGGTGCTCCCGCCACGGGTTCGGATCCTATATAGGGACGACCGGTGCGCTCACAGCGCTCACTGGCTGAGCGCGGTGCCACCAGTCTCAAAAAGGACAAAAAAAAAAAAAAAACTTGAAAAAAAGGTGACAGCAGTAGGAATGGAAAAGCAAAGGTAGATCTGAGACGGTTTCCAGGGCCGATGGTCAGGATGTGATTGTTGGGATGTAGGGGCTGAGGAAGAGAAAGGAATCTTGGATGAGTCTCAGTTTTCTGGTCCCAACATTTGAGTAGATGGATATGACAGCCACTGACTGGGGAAAGACAAAGAAGAGCAGATCTCTGGGGAAGATGAGGAGCTCGGCTTTGGACATGCTGAACTCATGGTACTTAAAAAACACCCATTTAGAACTACCCAGTAGGCAGCTGGACACATAGGTTTGGAGTTCAGGAGAGAGGTTGGTACTGGAAATTAAGAGTTCAAACACATCTGCAATTTGGTTAGTAGGTGGACATAGGAAAGGAAAATTTACCCAGGGGGATGAATAGCATCAAAAGAAAAAAAGAGCCAAGAAGGTACCAATAACTGCAGGACTTGGGAGGTATCTAGTAGAAGAAAAGCCTACGGAAAGACTGAAAAGTGACCAAAGAGGTAGAAAGAAGATCGAGAGTGAGTCGTGAAACCAGGGAAAATGGGGGAGAAGAAACAGATACATTCCCACTGTCTAGGAGCTCACAATCCCCTGAACCAGTTAGACCAGGAGGCAAATGTATGGCAGGTTACAATGAGGGTATAATCCAGGCCAAAGAGTTAGATCTACTAGTCTCTTTCTGGTTTTTCCACTTTCATACAACTCTCCCAAGACCTGAGTTCTCTTTCCATAAAACAGACAACCAAGAAATTAGTTTATTATATATAATAATGTAATTATATATAATAGATATAATATAATTAGTAGTGCTGTTTTCTTAGACGAATGAAGTTATGTCTATGGATTCTTTGAAGTCGTAGGAAACTGGGCATTCTCATTCTTTCTCATCATTTTTCCATCATCGCTAAAATTAATAGCTTTCAACATTTGTTAACTTCACTCTGGACTTAAAAACAAAACTAGATCTTAAATTTCTTGACCTTTAGATATAACCTCTGAGGAACAAGTTTCAAATGACCGCGATCATGCAGTGACCCGTATCAAATGCGTTCACATTATTTTTTGCATATGAAAATACACAATCACATTTTAGCAAGTACAATGCTAAGGCCCACATTTTAAATGTGAGAAATTTACACTCTCCTTTGAATATTTTAAGTTTTTAGCCCTGCAGCTTCTAGAATTCACCTATTTTTAGAAAATATTGCCATGTATTCAAAATACTTTTCTTTCTACAAATAAAATATTTAGTATTATCGTTTGCCTAGTCTTTTCAATAATTTAGCATGTCCACCTAAGGACATTTGAACATTGTTCTAAGGCCTGGAGCATAAAACTGTCTGGCCACCTTGTGAGGAAAATTCTGAGAAGTACTCAGGAGCTAGAGAAAGACACATATGAGTGTAGTTTTTTCCCCCATTTTTCACCCAGGCTTAATATTATGGAAGGAGGTATTTACAAAGCACGTGTTATCACAACACACTGGTCATTTATTTGTCTGTCAGCTTGCACCACTTCTATTATTGAGAGGTGCACTTAGTTTTCAAGTGCACTGTATTATTTATAAATGGTGCTTTTACAATGGCATCATCGCCTGCATTTATGACCACTTATCAATATGAAACTTCTACTAGGCCTCTCTCTTTGCTGAGATGTCACTATCCTTCTTTTCATTTGGAATAATTCAGGGACACAATAATCATCATTAAATTGTGCTGAAGTCAGGAAAACAAATCCTACCAACCTAGAGATGGATGGGTGGAATTAGCCTTGTCCTCTTTGAGAGTTGTAAGTGGTGAGGAATTTAATACATCAGAGGAGGTAACACGAAGGAATACACTTTGTAGACTACAAAATGTTCTATAATTGTTGCAACAGTGACAGGCAGCTAGAATTGAGTTTTCACCCTGTTTTGAGTGTTCTGAAGAGTATCTCTCCTATAGTAGGTACTCGCTGACTATTTCTTGAATGAATGGATGATTGACTAAATAAATATAAATTTTCTTCCTATAGACCTTGTGAATTGTGGGTCAGAAGGAGAAGGCTGTTGTGAAGACAAAGATAATGGGTCTGGGGATGGTAAGAAGGAGCTAATTGGTAGAAGACAATGTGTCATCAACATATGACTCAGCCTTGCTTTTGGGTAATTAGGAATTAGCTATCCATGTGTTTACTTGGGTAAGCAGAGATAAAATACTAACTTCTTGCTTTGTGTTACAAGAACATATTTTAGGTAAGACAGCCACACAATGTAGCCAATGCCCTTGTAATTATTTTCCTTAGGCAGTGGTAAAGATTGTAGGGACCCCATGGGTGCCTGAACAGGGACACACCCCGGCAATATGGCGCCCTGCCTGGTTCTTCTCCGCATTAAACAAGCCCGCTGGCGCCAACACAAGCCCACCCGCGCCAAACCTCAGCCAGTCACAGGTCAAGGCTCACCTCCTGCCCAGCCCCGTCCAATCAGTTACCACCCCGTCCACTCTCTCTCCCGTTCCAGAGCACAGCACCCTATAAATGTACGTGCAGTCCTTGAATAAAGCGGAACTTCTCTGGCGAACTGTTAGCCCGGGTCTCGCATGATTCCTTCGTCTGTGCATCCCTTCATATGGTGCCGAAACCCGGGAAGGAGTTCACCCTGCACCAGGGGACTCCTTCCTCGGAACTCCTTGGACTCCTCCGCGACCCCCCGGGATTGACGGTCCGCCCCCGTCCATTTTCTCCGGCTCTGGCTTCCTTCACCCACCACCGGCTCATCTGTTAGGTAAGCCCCCTTTTCCTTTTGTCAGGCTTGTAGATTATTTAAACCGTCACCCTAATCACATTCTCCCAGCCCTGGCATTGACACGTTCCCGGCCCCGGAGACTGAACCTCCCATTCCTCCCTCTCTCTTTCTCTCACTCCTTTTAACCTTCCTCCTTCCTGGGTTCAGCCTTGAACCCATCTAACCTTCCTCCTACCGGGTCCAGGACCCCCGCCGTCCAGTAAACCCTAGCGCGCTAGGTCCCTTCGGCTTCTGGCACAGTTGCCTCCGGGAAACGAGGGTCTAGGTGACGACCTACACCCCCTTCCTTCCTGGGTTCATACCCACCTCCTGGGAACGGCACGACTCATTGGGGACGCCCTCTGAGCTCCGTCCTTCTCATCCAGCTGGAGGGCTCATACTAATCCTCCTCCTTTTAAAACTTTTCTCTCTCTAATCCTCTTTGGAATAGGAGCTTCTGCCTCCTCCCTCCGGGGTGATTCGCCCTTACAATGTCTCTTAAACAACCTTACCACCCTGTCCCTCAAGCCTGACATTAAACCCAAACTCCTCACTAAATTTTGCACAAAAAATTGGCCTTATTATCCCTTAGATAACCAAAATAAGTGGCCCCCTGAGGGTACACTTGATCCCGACATTCTCTGGGACCTATTTAATTACTGCCAGCGCCAGAGAAAATGGAAGGAGATTCCCTTCCTCTTTCCACCTACTTGCCCTCACCTGTTCCCCCTCTCAGGTTCTAAACCCCCTCTATCCTCCACGCCTCCACCATCTAACCCCCTCCGCACAGGTCTCCTTCTCCTGTAACTTCCTCTGCTACATTCTCCAGAACCTTGTTAATTACTGCCAGTGCCTGAGAAAGTGGAAAGAGATTCCATATGTGGAGGCTTTCCACCTACTTGCTCAAAATCCCTCTCTCCGTCTCACCTGCTCTCCTTCCCAGGTTCTCCTTGCATCCAAACCCCCTTCATCCTCACTGCCCCCACTACCCTCTACTTCTCATAATTTTGACCCTGCAGATGAACCCCTTCCGCACAGGTCTCCTTCTCCTGTAACTTCCTCTGCTCCCCAATCCCATCAGTTAACTCCGCTCCATCCATCTTCTTTGCCCGGCCAGCCGGCCGGTAAACAGCCCTGGTCTCCGGGGCAGCCACTGCGGGGTGAGGGGCGCCCTAGTCAGCTTGTTC